GATATCTTTAAGATTATTTAGAATTTTCTAGATGTTTGTTAGACACTTGACACATATTTTGTATATAAAATTGAACCAATGAGAACACTAACCTTCCGCTCGGCTTTTTTTGTGTGTAAAAATCAAGTAAAAAAACCAAACCCAAACTTACGTATTGTTATTGCTTCGTTGAGTTAGTATTTATACAATTTTTAATGCTTATAAATATTTACTTTTATAAACCGAAAACACCGAAAAAAACCAAAATAAAAACCGCATAAACCGAACCGAATAACCAACGGTTTACATATTTTGTATGCAAAACCGAACCGAACCGAACCGCCAACTTACCTTCCATTTTGTCTTTGGTTTTGGGTAAAAACCAAACTGCAAAAACTGAACCCACCCCTAAATCACATCAAATCTCTTTACTATTAATCTGATCTACATATCTCATCCAAGCGCATTTTGGAAAAGTTAACAACAAAATATATTCATTTTAATTTCTTAAAAGTCAATACATGAAAAGTTTTTAGGAACAGATAAAATAATATATGTTCATATTTTCCCAAACTAATAATGGATCATGAGCCAATATTTCCGCTTGTGTTGAAATATGAACATGAGCAAGTTTTCCGAATCAAGAGGAGTGAGTTTCTTACACTCCCATAAAGGTAGAAGCTCACTTATGTCCACCTTTATTTAATCCCCAGTTTCATAAAAACTCTTTTTGTTTTGACTTTTTTAGTCAAACTGTGACATACTTTGATTACAAATTTTGAGAAAAATATATATTAAATTATAATATAAATTTAATATAATTGTGATGGATACCCTGGACTTGGGTTTATCTAACCCAAGAAAAACAATTACGGCCCAACGCATGGCCTATCTAGTCGCAAGAATCAGACGCGCTCGGCCAAAAAATGCTTTACTCGACTGAGAAGACCTAAAGGAAACCTAGCCCTCAGAGTGGCAACTGCACTCGGACATGTGTCTCTACTCAGCTCGAACCCATGCACTCGGACCTAGGGGCAGACTCGGGCAAATCTTTATTCGGCTGTCTTTTAGCGACGAAATTGTGTGCTCGGAACCCTACTGCTAGACGATAAGCAAGACAACCTTATCATGGACATGAGATCCTATTTGCCTTGTCTACTAAACGGGCCCACACAAGGGCAACTCTAATACTATTCGTTTGTTTGTAGTCATACTATTTGTAATTACATCTCTTGTATTATTAGTCAAAGATACGATTCTAGCAGGCTTGGCCCACCTGTACTAGCTCCTGCCCTAGACAACAACTAAAAAACACAACAAATGTATTGTATGAATACTTCTCTCTCTTGGGAAGAGAAGGGCATGTTCACTATCAAGCAAATATACTCACTCTGCACTCTTGCGACCAAAAAGGCATACAACCCGTGTTCGATATGCTTCTACCTAGTCTTCAATTCTAGGTCCCGGGTTCTAACACCCATTAAATTGTGTTCATTTTAGGATATAATTTTGATAGATTAATTTTTTATAACATTTTTTTATTTAAATTATGCCTAATTTAAGGTCAAAGAGTGTGAGTACTTAACTAAAGAATTAAAACAAGAAGAATTTTCAAGAAGAGAAAGTGTAATTTTGTAACCAACTTAAAAACGGTTACATTGAGAGAACGTTGCATGTGTGAAGAACGCGTACGTAGTAGAGGTTTAAAAAGGAAAACTTTATGGTGCAGTTGGCAAACATAAAGGACAATGAAGATTTGGAGGCCAAGTGCTGATATCTTATTATGGGCCACTCTGTTCTTTTAGCCTACCCTCCCTCCATCCATAAATACATTATCAAGATTTTTCATGTTTCTCTCTCTCTCTTATATATATATATATATATATATATATATATATATATATATATATATATATATATATATATATATATATATATATATATATATATATTAGTTCAGATGAAAATGCGATCTTATGAAAGAAATAAGATTGAATCTGGTGCATTAGATTGTGAGATCTAAGGGTTAGGATTGCATCAAAATTAGATGCACCAAAATGGTTTGAAAATGCATAATCTCAAAATCTGAGTGCAGGATGCAATCTGAGCCGCACGATGCATCAAATCTAAAGGCTAGATTTTATTCTTATTTCTTTCACCAAGGTGCATTCTCACCTGAACCGCCCCCCATATATATATATATATATATATATATATATATATATATATATATATATATATATATATATATATATATATATATATATATATATATATATAAGTACTCCATATATAGTTTCTTTATATCTTCAATTATGTTTTTGGTACGTTACGAAAATTTATATCGAGCCAAATTTAAATGAGACATTGCATGAACATGTGTATTTGGTACAAATCACAAAAGATAGATTTATTGCACATGTTAAATGATTATACTTTAATTTCTTAATCCTAAAAAAAGATTCGTTATTTCTTTTCTAGGACGTCTCAAAAAATGTTTTGTTGGAGTTCCCACATCGAAAAATAAAGATGAGTATCACTTGCATATATTGAAGGGTGAAGCCCTACCTATTCGCTTAAGCTTTTGGGTTAGAATTGTGGATCCCGACTTTATATGCAAGTGATTAATTTTACCCAACACTCTATCCGTTGTTATCGGCCCGCCGGAATTTTAACTTGGTATCGGAGCATGTCCGGTCCGTGTTTGATTGTTCCTGGTTGTTTAGATGTGGGTTTAGCAAAAATGAGCTACCCCGTCTGTGGTTTGGGCTGAGTTGGCTAAAAAGAGATTGAGATGCCACCGCCCGTTGTGTGGGCTAGCTATAAGAGATTGAGATGCTAGACCCGTTTGTCCAAGTGCTAACTAGGCCAGGCTAGTTACCACTTGCGGGGGAGTGTTGGAGTTCCCACATCGGAAAATAAAGATGAGTATCACTTGCATATATTGAAGGGTGAAGCCCTACCTATCAGCTTAAGCTTTTGGGTTAGAATTGTGGATCCCGACTTTATATGCAAGTGGTTAATTTCACCCGACACTCTATCTGTTGTTCTTGGCCCGCCGGAATTTTAACATGTTTTATCTTTTCTTTTAAAGGACATCTTAAAAAATGTTCCTTAAATTTTGGGGAGAAAGAGCAAAGTAGAACTAAAACATTGACAATATACCAAAATAAGATTTCTGTGTTTTTATTCTCAAAATAAGACTTAAAATGCATTTACATTACCAAACATGGTCATGTACATTACCAAAAAGTATAGTAATGTGCACATGTACAGTGGCACATTACAACCACATTCACACAATGTGAAGTCTTATTTCGGGAAAAAAACATGAAAGTCCTATTTTGGTACTTTTTTCTATGTTTTAGTTTTATTTAAGGCGATTTCTGTAAATTTTGTGTCAAGTCAAATAATAAAGTTTTTTTTTCTGATGGAGGGAGTATTAGTTTATTGAATGATTAATGAAAATAGACCTACATGGAATTAATAAAATATGATTGGGTGAATTATAATTGACAAGTAAGTTTTAGGCGACATGAAAATACTTGATACATACTCCCTCCGTCCTGAAATGGATTATAAATTTTTTAGGGACTTGGATATGGAAAAATTTTGTTTGCTTATTTAATAACATAATATATTTTTGTCAGTTTTTGTTTTGTACTCACTACGCCCTAAAATGATCTTCCAGTTTGTTTAACGAAGTTTGGCTAAATTATTTTAAATTTAGTTTATTTGATTATAGATAAAAAAAATTAAAAATAAAAATTACATATTTTAAAACTACATCAAAAGTTCTCCAAAACAAGTGGTGACATCACTAAATTATACTCCATCCGAAAGTTATGCTCCATTAGGCAAGAAAGTGATCAAAATTTGACTGTGAATAGTAACTGGGGAGATCATTTTAGAATTAATAGAGTATAATTTTTGGTGTACTTTAATTTTTAATATGTAAATTAAATTTTATTAAATTTTCATATACCAATTTTTAGATAAATTAATTTTAAAAAATGCAGGATTTTGTCTCATAAATAAAAATTGTAATTAATTTTGAGAGGGAGTGTGTAAATGATAAAGATCACTTTTTGTCAAATCAATTCTTTTTAATAAATAAAGAGGGTTTGAAATAAGAATAGATAAATGGACAAAATTTGTTTTTAAGAATGAAAAAAAAACACTTTTTGTCAAATCAATCTCTTTCGCTAAGTTTTTCCCTAAACTCATTATTTATCTCTGGCCTTGCTCAAATTAAGATAATATTCCTTCCATCTCTCGTTGGATTCTTTCAATTTATTTTTTCTTTATACTCCTTGCTTCTGTTCTAAATTAATTGTCTACTTTAAATAACGAGTAAAATCTTTTTCCTTTTAAAATTATTTTATTTAGAGATTAGTTTAAAAATAAAAAGTATAAATTACTTATTTTAAAAATATATAACCAAATTTATAAAATAAGTTGTGACAATAATTTTTTATTTTATTAAATAATCAATGAAAATATAAATCAACCAAAATTATCAGGAGATCTGGATAGTAACTAAAATGATTATTCAGAGACAAATATGATGCAGTACTGTCTTTCTTTATATTTTTCATCTGTTATTTGATGAAATAATTAAGTCATATCACTTCATTGTTCTGTGAATATTTTGGCATAATTTTCAAATGCAAGGCTTATAAATTTTACGATATATTTCTAAATGGACTATCCCCACCAACTTTCACACAAAAGTTTGATACTCCATATTAAGTATTTCACACACATTCAAAGATAATCATTATTTAGGCCACAAAGACAATCATCGTGTGTAAATGTCTGTAGAATAGAGTATATGATTTTAAAATCAAATGTATATTCTTGGGTATATTCACATTTCACATGCAAATTATAGGATTATAGAAGCACAACTTTTGAACTATGGGTGAAGTTCTACCCATGGGATGGTACTTGCATAGAACATAAGTTTGAAAGGAGAGAGAAAGAGAGAGAGAGATGCACAAAATGCAAAGGAATAACAAACATGAACCATATCATGGCTTAAATCAATGAAAGGAAAAGTAGTTCTTGAGCTCTACACATCATTTAGGTTCAAGCAATGAAAATAAGAGGGTACACATTTAAAATTAACTAGCCAAAGCCTCGGCCCAGCCATGCGACGATTCAGAATCCAGAAGCTTTTCGGCCAAACACAATATCTTCTTGACATATCAACCACCATATCATTTTCCTTTCTATAAAAAAGAATGCAAAAACAAAAAGAAACTCGCGTTACACGCGTGTTTAGTCATCGTATTATAGGAATGTGATGAGAAACTAGATGGTACCTCAACATCAATCTCCTAATTCTCGTGGCTCGACAAGTATATAGACTGGTTTTCCTTTTAGCCTGCTTTGCCCCTGTGTTTTATCCCTCTTTAGACCCAACAACCATTAAAGGATAGTATGGGAAACCAAACATTTGAGAAGTAATAGTACCTTAACTTCTGGCAAGCCAATGACACAACCGCATTCGACCACCTCAGCTCCCATTCGCTCTATGATCATAAAAAAAGAGTAAAAAGAAAACCAAAATCTTTCATTACGTAAAGGAAAAAGCTTCGAGAACCCCACTTTTGGCACCAAAGGCACCTACAGTTTTGCCTTTGGTGTCAAGAGCCCTTACATATAAAGGTGAATAATGCTGCAATAACACAAAGTTTGGCACCAAGGTTAACACCATCAAGCTAGTTTTTGCACAAACAAGTGAGAACTTTATATTGTCTCCAAGACCCTAGCGGCGTCAAACTTGGTGTTATTGTAGCATGGTCCTATAACGGTAGAGTCGTTGTTTCATAAAAGACACTTGGCTTGTGAAAACATAAAAACATGTGAGATTACCAAGCAGTTTTATTGCAGCAGAAAGAGTCCCGCCCGTAGCTACCAAATCGTCAATTACAACAGCACGGTCCCCCTTTTGCACTGCCCCAACGTGCATATCCAAACGATCTTGTCCATATTCCAGTTCATACGATTCTGATATCAGTTCGCCTGTGGATTTTCAGCACCACTTGCAATATCATTAGTCCATTTCACAGCCTAATAAGGCACATTCACATTTTGCAATATCATTAGTCCATTCTGCTACCACATTTTGCTTCATTGTATCTGACCAAGACAAAAAAGAACCAAGAAAATGTGGCAAACCTGGCAATTTCCCCGGCTTGCGTAATGGAACAAACTTAGCTCCAATAGCTAGGGCGATTGACGGGCCAAACATGAATCCTCTAGCTTCAATTCCTATAAAACAATAAAGAATCAAGAGGGGTTTGATTAGGGTTTTTTTGTTTTTGTAATCCTTCATTGTTGATTTGGTAAGAATGTACTCCAACATAGAAATATGGTTTAAAGTATTACCAACAAAAAAATGTAATTGGAGTGTAATACATTTCATAAGGTCCTATGAACAGAGGACTTGTGAACAGTGTTTAACCTCTAGAATAACTTTTACTATGGTAGAAAATCTTCCATGCCAAATTGAGAGTACAATTATAGATTCAGTCAGAGTGCAATCTTGCATAGCCAACAAAACTTGAAGCTAATCATTGGTCACCCACTAGGAAAAATAATGTGAATGTACAGTGCAGCAAAAGTCCAAATTTAAAAAAAAAACAACAAATGATTAAACAGCTGAAGAAAAAAGACAATTACAAAAGAATCAAAAGAACTAATCACAACAAAATCTTTGCAGCTATTTGAGATGCTTTGGAAACTGTTTGCTACAAATCAAATCAAATCTAAGAAAATTTTGGGAAAATGCCACAATCTAAATTTGGCATTTTGTACCACATTTCCAAAAAGAACCCATTTTTTCCAAACAGTACCTCTTGAATCTGATTGGTTCACTAGTTCAACCCAAAATCACATGAACATGTTTTTTTAAAAAAAAAATCTTAAAAATTCACAAAATTGAATGGGCACAGAGTGTTGTTTAGATAGATTTACCAGCAACAACAGAGATGCCCATGTCTTTGTATCTATCAACAAAAATGTCAACAGTGTCTTTGAAGGCCTTATGATTCAACAGCAAAGTTGTGATGTCTTGGAACATTATCCCTGCAACAAATTTTTAACAACATGCATTTGCATCAATTCATCCCTATATATAATTCACACAAAACCCAAGGAATGGAAAACCAAAATCAAGAAACTAAAGAAAATCAAGAAAATCAAGAAAGAAAATTGGAGTTGGATTACAAGAGATGGGGTGACCTGGTTTAGGGAAGTGAGGAATGACTCTAATGGCCTCAAAAATGCCCTTAAGCCTTGGGTCACCTCTGAGCCCATTCTCTGCTGCAAACATTTTCTTTCTCTTTCTCTTTCTCTTCTCTTTTCTTTCTCTCTGGAATGATATTTCTTGAGGGGTTTCTTTATGGTCTGTGATGTATATATGGTGATGTTTGTAGTAGCTAAGCTATAAGAGAACAGTGTACTTTCTCCCTCTTCAATGTGTTTCTGTGAGTTTTCTGGTTTAGTGTGCACTATGCAAGTTCCAACAGCTGGCGGTTTCTTCTTTTTTGGGGGGTTTCTCTTCTTCCAAAGTGCTGCCAATAAAAAAGATCAAATCTTTGTGCTATTGCTTTCGTGGGTTTGTGTCCAAAGAAAGTGGGTTTTTAAATTATTTTTGTTTTCCTTTATTAGCTAACACCAAACAGGTCACCAAAGCGGTGACAGGAAAAGTAAAAAGAAATTTTGGAAAAGTAAAATTCGAAGAATGTTTAAAATTCTGTATTTTTTAAATTTAATTATTTTATAAATTTGTATATGAATAAAAAATACTATTTAAATTTTTAAAAATTATATAAAAAATTATAAAAAAACATAAGTCCTTATAAAAATATTTTATTTTATCAAATAATTAATAAAGACATAGAAACAAATAAAAAATCATTGGAAGACTAGGATGAATTTCTTTACCATTATTTCGTTAGTCTGAATTTTACAGCTCCTCCCTTTGCGATGAATCGCACATGAATCGAAGTAGATAAATTGTGTCTCCTCTTCCTTGTTTTGGCTTAGGATGGTCTTATTGTCATGCGTCTCCATATTGATGTAGTGTCATTTCACCTGTTGTATTTGAAAATATGGTACAACCAGTTGTATTATATAATTTGCGATTAAAATATGAGATGTGAAGAAATATTTCGAAAAGATGTGAACTTTTTTTGGGAATAAAATGTGTTCTTTTTTGCGTGTTAGTATTCATTTTGATATGTCTTGGTACTCATATGTAGTTTGAGCACTTGATTAAATATGTTTATTCTTTTATGTGCTTATTCTCAGTAATTAAAGTTCAAATAAATTACAAAATTACCATGTTGTACAAGAAATAAGACGTAGCCGGTTGTACCTTATAAATTGGAGTTGGTGCATATCGGTTTTGTCTAACAAAATTTGTTGTACCAGGTATTTCGTTTAGTCGTTTGAGATGATAGAAGATGGAAAGTCCCGAGTTAATAAAGTCGATGATAGAAGATGTAAACGCTCCAACCGGTTTCCGGCGGTTGGAGCGTTTTCCGGCCAACTCCGGCAAAATTGACGGCGGGCACCAACGCCAATGCGGTCGTGGCATCCGGGCGACCTCCAAGGACCCCTCAATTGCAAGATTTGATGAAGATTTGCAAAACCCCCAATTTTGGATCCAATTTCGAATTTTAGGGTTTTTTCGAGTATAAAAATTCAGATTCGAGAAGTTACAGGCCAAATTAGACAAAATGGTTTGGATATTATTGATCCTCGTCTCAAGACGAAGAGAATGACATTGGTCCCGCCGGAATCGGAAAAAGTTCATTTTCCGGCGACTTTGACCGGCGTGCGGCGGCGGCGGGGCGTGGAAGAAAAGAAAAGAAGAAATGGGGTCAAATTGAAAATTTTAAAATATATAAAATTCGAATTTGGCCCTAATGACCGGAAGTTAACCTAGAAACGAGCTAATGGCTCATTAGTGAAAGGATTGTGTAAGTTTAGGGATTTTTGTGAAAGGATTTGAAGTTCAGGTACTACTTCGAAATTACAGCTAAAGTTCAGGTATCATTTGTGAAATTTACCCTACAAATTTCATTTAGTGGAAATGAGAATTGAGGATTTGCTGGTTCAGAAAAATTTGAATGTGGTATTAAATGACAAGTCAGAAAAAGATGTCTAATGTAGATGAATATGTTTGGATAAAAAAAGAATGTCCTTTGTCTAACTCTTGTTGACAAAAAATGTTGTGTTTAACATTCTGAAGAAGAAGACGGCGAAAGGTGTCATGGAAGCATTGTCTAACATTTACAAGAAGCCATCTGCATCAGACAAAGTTTTTCTGATTAGAGAGCTGGTGAACACGATGATGAAAGATGACACTTGTATTATCAAGCACATTAATTACAGAATTCAATATTAGCCCGAAATTTGTCAGTAAGCATTAAGTTCGAAGATGAAATTCTAGCTTTACAATTGTTATCAGTGTGACCTGATAGTTAGTCTAGAATGGTTACAACATTTACTAGTTTTGCGAGACAGGATGAATCCACCTTTGAGAAGATTTGTGATCTCTTTCTTGGCAAGGATGTGAGAAGGAGTTTTGTGGATTCGTCTTGTGAATTACTAAATATTGGTAGAGGGAGAAGAAATAACAAAAGTAGTCGATCAGAGCGAGAAAAACATGAGGAGTTAGTAGTAGATTCAAGATTGCTCAGGTGCAACGTGTTGAAAAGTTAAGAAGGTGAGGCATTTCAAGAATAAATGATCAAAAGACAAACAAGTGAACATTGTAGAAACCCTTGCAGACGAGGATCACTTTGGATGTTGTACAAAGAGCAGTGTGGGTTTCTGGATCATGAACTTTGATGCTTCATTTCTTGCAATCCACAGTAGTAAAAATATTGCTTAGTCTAGTCTTGAGGACTTTAATAAGGAAGACGATCGGATGACAAAGCTCTTGATGTTACGAGCATATGTGACATAGTGTTGAAGACACTAGTCAATCTCTGAGCTTTGAAGGATGTCATAGCTGTTACAAGTTTGAAGAAAAGTTTCATTTCTGCTATGAAATTGGATGCCTCTTCTCGAATTGGTCTTCTTGTGACACATCATACCCTTCAATTTCCTCTGATCTTACCCTTTTGGTGGTGACCTCTTTTCTTTTTAGCCTTGCATCTTCATAACTTAGGCTCAGATAATTGGTCCTTGTATTGTGTAAACATGAACTTGAGTTGTCCTCAATATTTACCTCCAAACTTCCCATGTAATTTTATGAGAATATGTCAAAGAAACCAATACTATCTTGTGCAAGGAAATATTGTGGAAATTGCAAACTGCATGGCCTTATCTTGGCCACTAATTACCACACAAGTGGAATATCATCGATGCACTCAAGCCATGTCTTGAAGTGACAAACAAGTGAATTAGTATCCTCTCGTGATACTAGAATGAACCAATAAATCAGTGATCTCTTCTATCAATCTATGATAAAATTCTAATTTATATCCTCTCACAGACCGTTCAACTAGTTTGAAAGGGGTAGTCGAGGATGAAGTTCATACTTTTTAAATTAACCCAAAAAAGTTTTGATGAGAGTATGAATGGAGAAAATACATTACATAGTTGTTGGCTAGGTAGGGTGTATTTATTGTTATGCCATCATCAAATGATTTGTACGACTCATAACACTTATGGATCGTCTGTCTAAATTACATTTTTCAGCCTTGACTCTCTATCCTAAACCCAAGCTTAATAAAATCATTGCTTTTATACTGCATCTTGTTTAAAATTTATAGTGCCATTGCATTTCTGGCAAAAAGTCCCAGCCTTCTTAATTATGTCGTAAACATAGTTACTACAATCCTTCTCTATAAATGGAAATTGGTCATATCCACTGATCTACCGAAACATAGTTACCACGTCATAGTTCCAAGTTTCTTGTTTATACGAGAAATAAGAAAAAAGGTATATACTTTATTTGTCTCGCTGGATTCTTAACATTTACTATTCACACAATCAAAATATTTCCTCTTTTTAAAATATTTTTCATCTATTTTTTGATAAAATAATATATTAATGTCACATCTTATTTTATTTAACATAGACTTAGGTATATAATTTTTTTTAGCCTTATCAACATGAGAAACTGAACAATCAACATGTAATAATTCTGAAAAATGTTAGAGTCACTAACAAAATTGTCACAAAGTTCAAACTTACCATTTGAAAATATAGATTTTTACTTTTTTCAATTTTTAAGATTACTATGTTCTCTTAATGGGGTTTACAAATAATAAAATTTTGAATTTTGTGAATATTTTGTTTGTGATTCTAGCTAGCATTTCTTGATGACTCTTTGTGCGTGAAGAGAATCAAGATTTTAGAGGCTTAAAACCAATAACTTCAGACAAATAATAAACTCTTAAATTGGATTTGTCCAAAGAAAGACCAACTTATTTTTATTATTTTTTTGTTATGATCAGTTCAATTCAGACCAGATTACAATTTATTCAAATCATATGAGAATAATTTAACAACAAAACATATGATCTGTTTGCAAAAACATTGAAGATTAGCGTTTTCAAAAAGCTATCTACGGAAAGTTTAATAGTATTTCCAAATGGGTTTAAAACAGATAAAAGCAACGCGGATTCCGCCATGTGTCTCTTTTTCTAACTTGCGCCTCTATCCGGAGCGGCTTTCCCTCTAGGAGATACAGCGGACCCGATTTCCTGGATTTGAATCCATTCCGCCGTTCTTCAGCTCTTCTCCAGGTTTCCCGTCGATACATACACCCGTAACTGTGCGCTTTCGTCTTCCTGAAATCTCGGAGACGCGCCAGATGGCTCCGAGACTGAGTTGAAAAAGTCATGGCGTCGTCGGCCTCTCTGCACGCCCACCTCTCCGCCTCGTCTTCTCTTTCCCAGGTAAATCAATGGCTTCTTCTGCTCCGCATATCTTAGGTCATTTATATATTTGGATGAAATTGTTAATTAACTTTCCTAGATTAACGATTACGGAGTAATATATAGGTTGACTTTAGGTTTTTCTGCCCTGCTGTTTTTCCAGGATTTCTCATTTCTCTTCTGAATATTGTTATTTTTTTGTTTGTGTTAATTTTTGCGGCTCGTTTTACCTGTACAGATTGATTATTAGAATATGTGTTTTTTGTATAATGTTGTAAATTGTACAATTACCCTGATATATCAGAATGTATTGTGTAATCGAGAAAGACGATGAAAAGAATTAAGATCAAAAATAAATACCAAGGGAGATGAAATTATAGATATTCCTTGCGTATCCGGTGTTGGATCTCAGTCACGGAGAGGGTGTATTTATAGTACATCTGGTGGTTGGAACGAACTGAACGATCCACAATTCGTGGAGCTAATAATAGATCATATTTGGTCACGTTGGAGCGCCTCCTCAATGTATCTAGCCTTGCTTGTTACCTTTACCATGCCCTTCGGATGGGTCTCGCTTGTGGGTTATGCCCGCAGCCCATATCACATGGGCTTATGCCTCACTTCTGTCGCCTGGTGGATCGAGCTTTTTGCTTCTCGGGCATAATTAAATACAATTAAGGAAACGGGGGCCTAAGAAACCACTCACAACAAGGTGGGGAGGAAACTCTAAATATGTCCATCATAATTCATAAGAGTTTGATGTTGATTTAACTCTCATTAAGGTTCATTAGTGGCTGATGTATATCTTATATTCTCTGTTTATGTTTTTTCCTTCTTTAGGATATATACTTGTTTTGTTTGAGCACATAAATAAATTAATATGAAGAGCATCCAAAAATTGTCAATATCACAGCTTTGATTGAGTGAGCCCCCCACGTGTCCAAATCTAACCCATATATCCAAAACCCACAAAATGTATTAAGCTAAAAACAAATTTACTTGTTTGGGCATACATGGCTGATAATACACACTTTTCTTTTCAATTCATTTATATATACGAAAATATTAAAACAAACACAAAGAAAAGCTTAATAATCACCCCGAGTAATTTTGTTGCCATGCTAATTCATCTCTTCCTACAAACAAACAAAGAAATGCACCCACTAGCCATAGGGCGTGTTTGGTTTGGTGCTTTGCAGGGAAATTATTTTTCTTAGAATTACTTCTTACTCTTGGTGGAAACCAACAAGCTCTCTGAATTTAATCATTTAATTTTCATCACTCAAAATAGAAACCAAACAATAGAAAATGTTTCTCATTCATTACTTTCCCTATAAATCAATTACGGTCCATCATAGCGAATGTGGTTATAGTGTAGGCGATATTTGCTTGAACGCTCAAGCAGATCTAAAAAACCCCATAAAGTCAGACGCATGTTGTTACACGTTAACAGTTTGCATCTGATCCCAGAGTTTAAGCACCCGCAAATTCATGTAGAAATCATGCAAGCACACTTTTCTTTTTGAGAATTGCTAAATGCTATTCATAATTTTTTCCAAACTATTGTAGAAATAAAACAGTCATAGTTTTCATACAGTCATACCTTTTAAACTTTTATTCATCATATGTTAAATTGTTAATCATGCTTCCAATTTCCATTCAGGCATGTGATATAAGGACCAAATGCAAGCAGAAGAGGTTAACTAGTATTGCAGTAAAAAATAGAAAAGCCCCATTCTCATTGACTGTGAGGTCCATCTTGGACAGCAAGGAGTCGATTATAAAAGGCAAAGTGGCCGCTGAGCCTGCAAGGGCTCTCTTGCAAAGTTTGAAACAGAAGTTGGAAGAACAGATCAACAGAGATCCATATCTGCCTCAAGTTGCTGAATTTTGGCTGAACCTTCCCAAGCTCGAGTCTGATTTACAGGCTGCTCTGTTGATCTTGAAGAAGAAAGAAGAAGACCTACAAGATGCGGAGAAGAAAGTGATGCTAGAGTACAACGACTTATGTCGTGCAAGGGTGGAGTTGGAGACCCGGCATGATGAAATTGCTGCTGCTAGTTCTAAGAGAGAAAAACTGGAAGATGATCTACACCAGGCTAACCTTTCTTTGTCTTCTCGAGCTTTGGAAATTGAAGATTTAAAATTTTGCCTCAAGGATAGAGATAATGAGATTTCTGCTGCCAAACTGGCTTTATCTTTGAAAGAGGGTGAACTAAACAAAATGAAGAACTGTTTGATGAAGAAGAGTGAAGAAGCTGCCAGTGTGGAATCAGAACTTAGATCCAAATCCCAGCTTCTCGATGAAGCAAATGGTGTTCTCAGCAAACAAAAGACAGAGATTCGTGATCTCAGGATGGCAATTCAAGACAGAGAGAAAATGCTGGGATATTCTCTGATGATGCAGAATGTGGAAAAGGATAAACTCAAAGTTGCAGAGGCCAATGTGGAAAAACTGACCATGAATTGGCTTGTAACCCAGGAAGAGTTGAAGAAATTAGCAGCAGCGACGTCAAAACACGTCAGGAGGAAAGGAAATGTCGCATACGAGGATTTTAAAAGAGTGAAGAAGCTGCTTGGTGATGTTAGGTCCGAGTTACTTTCATCTCGACGAGCTCTGGCTTCTTCAAGCCGGAAATTGAAAGATCAGGAAAGACTGCTACAAGAGCAGCTACTTGAACTCGATGAAGAAAGAAGAAACATTATGTCTTACAAGACACTCTTGGAAGATGCTCAAGTTGCGGTTGAAAGTGAGAAGCTGAAACTCAGGCTGGTTGAGGCTCAGAAATTGGAACTTGAAAGGGATTTATCCATGGAAAAAGTCCTTGTTCAAGAGCTGCAGAATGAGTTATATAAAGAAAGATCGTCTCTACAAGACGCAACTGAGGAGATGTGTTTTATGCAAAAGGAGCTCGAACTAAAGAGGGCAGAATTTGAGGAAGTTCAGAATCTTCTCCAGGTGAAAGAGTCAGAGTTAGTAGAAGCAAGGTTAGAAATTCACCACCTAAAGTCAGAGCAATCTTCTCTTCAGCTTGCATTGCAAGAAAAAGATTTAGAGTTGTTAAACACAAGGAAAAAGTTTGATGAACTAAGCGAGGAGATAACTGAATTAAAAATACTTATGAAAAGCAAAGAAGTCCAGCTCATGCAGACAACATCTCTGCTGAAGGAGAAAGATGAGGAAGTCCTGACAATGCACCGTGAATTAAAAGAGACTAAACTAAAATTTTCAGAAGCCGAGACCGTTGTTGGTGGCATTTTGGAGCTGACGAAGAAAATGGTTATTTCCGTAAAGGATGATCAGTGTGATCAATCAACCCAACTCAGCGACACAGGTCGGAACCGCTTGCCGCAGCAGCTACTTGACAATAAACACACAAATAGTCTAAAGTGGCAGAAAAGGTGTCTTGAAGATGAACTTGCGCTTACCAGAGAAAACTTGAGGGCTAGAGATACCGAAGTTCTTGCTGCACAAACATCCCTTAAACTCAAAGACGAGGAGCTCAAATCAGCTCTCGAAAAGCTGGGTGCTCGAGAGAAGGAACTAAGAAGAGCAAAGGAGTCTAAGAGCTCGTTCTCTTCAACTTACGACACGAATGTCATTGGAGTCAATAACGGCGAATGCCTTGCTGAAATTCATACCGAAGTTGCTCGGCTTTCGGCCTTGACGCAGCACTTTGTACAAGAAGCAGGTATGGTAGGTTAAAATTGCACTAGTTTTCTCCACTTTCAGTGATTTATTTATATTAATGACATAAACTATAGAGTGTTGTGAATGTAAATATGTTTGGTTTTTTGAGACGGTGTGATGCTCTGTTTTCTTGAATCTCATTAAGGAGCAATTATTAGTTGTGTGTGGAAAGTTGGTGATGTGATTTTGAAAGCTCCACGGCACATGTTAGTGTTTCCAATCGTATAACAATGCCAAACTGGCTTATAAAACCCCATGACATTATATTACCTACCTATATTGTTTGCACACATTTGAGTGGATATTTTCTTTTGTAGTTTTCAATTTGGCTTTTGTTTCTTAAGGGACACTGACCCTTTTATAACCTGTTTGGCAAATGGCAATTATTGGGTTAAAGTTGAATGTATCCGGCTTTTAGGAAAAGATACTTACCTTTCCTATTCTATGTGATTTTTAATATTGAACTTCTCTTATAACTTGAGTAGTAGCAAATTTGCTTCCCAGAATTCATGAGAAAATTTACCCAGGTTCGAGCTCTGGCAAAGGCGGAAGCATTGACTCTTTGTGCGTTATTAGGTTGAGAATAGTATGAACAGATACTCCGTACAATCTTGTAATAGAGTCAATAGCAATAAAAAATGGAGCATACAATCTTTTCTTTTAAAAAAACTACTTTCTCTGTCAAGTCCGTTGCATAATTAGAATTTCTATGGTTCTAATTTGTATAGAAGAAAGAAAAATAATATGGATCACAAAGAAATTTCCTCAAGAAGTCAGTGGAATAATTTTTTTAGGATAATCCAAATGAGAAAGTATTAAGATAATTATTAGACAGGTGTGGTTTCTATTATCTTTCCTTATTTATTACTTTCTCTGTCCTAAATTATATTACTCCATCCGTCCTAAAATTAACTTCTCAGTTTGACTTTTGTAATCAAACTTTGTAAACTTTGATTGTATATTACGGAAAAAATACATTGAGTTTTCATGTAACTTTATTAGCAATAGATTCATTTTAAAACATAGTTTTGAAATATATAATTTTTATAAAATTTATTTATATAAAAATTGAGATATTGATGATCAAAGTGTCGCATTGGAGACCGTTAAAAGTCAAATGGGAAGTTAAGTTATTTTTAGGACGAAGGGAGTATCTGTTTTAGTTTACGATATTTGATTGAAACTATTTCAATTCAATTTATTTAAGAATTGATGTAAAAATGAAAAATAAATTTTAAATATTTTATCAAATGAATGATGAAAATATGTAAATTAAGGGAATAATTTTATTTTCCAACAAATCTTAACTACAATCTCAAGCCCAAACATCCCGAACAAATCTTTAACTTTGATCGTTTAATAGAATCATCTTTAAAAAGATAGATTTTGTACACTATTCGAAATAGGAAGTTAATTTCGAGACGGAGGAAGTAATAGATAGAATTCACACTAAAGTACAAAGTAAAAAATTGCATGATAAGGTTAAAATTGGGTTGTACTTCGAAAAAGGTTAGTACTAGGAATAATACTCGAGTATTTTGTACTCGATATCATTGACAATATAATCACGATGCGCTTAAACCTTAATTGGTCTTCACATGTATTGTTATCAGACCCATTTGATTGGGTCAAGTCTGGTCAAAAAATGGTACTCCGGGGTATCTTTTAGTAGGTACAAAGCTCAGTACAAACCCTTTCAAGCCATGTCCGCCTCTAGTTCGGGTGAGGATCGATTCCCGACCACATGGGTGAGGTGTGTAGCCATCGATCACCACACCGACCTCATGGTTAACACCACCACACTACTTCCACGACGAAAATTTGTTGCACTACGTCGTGTGTCATTATATCTAGTGTCGTTCATTGACAGGCATATTGTTCAATGCTTCTTAACAATTTATTCTGAAAGGGGCTTTGGTGGTTGGGATCTTTACAACACTTACATTTAGATTTTGAAAGACAACATAAATGAGTGTTGTTTATTATGTGCAATGTCACATTTTAGATGTGAGATCCTCAAAAATCCTACTCTCTTTGAGCCTCATGTTTATCAACCCAGAAGAAAAACAATACTTTTTTCAAGAACTTATAAGAGCCCATCCTTTATTCTCTCCGAGTATCGATCCCTCAGTCGCTTCGGGGCCACTGGTTTTGAGTTTCTGAGGTATGAGAACCACTTTCTTAGAACCACAAGTGACCTGCATTGGCAGTTCTTACTCACAGCAGTTACTCTATTGTGCACTATCTTTCCCATTTTCTTATTCCCATTTTCTCCTTTGCATTTCAACTGCCCATCTCCATTGCCTTTATATCTGTATAAAGTGGCACAAATTTAGACAGCAAGCAAAGAAATACTGTATAATCCCAACTTCTGCTGGTGTCTGAGAGAGCCAAGATGTTTCAAATCGATTCGTATCGGGGACCCACCCGTGGAATGCGTGTATTGAACGAATGCAGTTATAGAAAAAATTATATATATTTTTAAAATCAGGGAATGATTTTCAGTTATATTATTATTAGTATTATAACAGAATGCAAATGAGGAAGGAATTGGACTTACTCACTTGGCTCATCCAACTTGGTTCTTGCTCTTTCTGATCGCGGCAACTTTTCAGAGTAAATAACTGAGACATGTCGCGCGAATTCAAGCTGTAACAATCAAGCACGGAAAACACGCAAGTAAAATCAGGGTTATAGTAAACGAGAAGAAAATTAGGATTTGGTTTTTTTTCTTTAGAGTTAGTTTAGGCAAAGCGTAGGGGTCAACTTTTGTGGGATTCTACTAGGTTTGTTGTTATCGTTGTAGAGTTCACGCAACTGGCGAATGTGTCCGGTTGTCCGCGTACCGGGTATGTACAAAAAATGCGTGCTTTTATTTTCAAGATTTCATTTTTATTCTTTTATGGATTAGAAGTGTTATTAGCAACAAAACGAAACATTCTTTTAGCAACGAAATGAACATTGTACAACTATTAAATGTGCACACATCAACTTAATAATGCTCATGCATTAACCATATACCAAAAAAATAAAAAAATGTGCGAAATAAATATTCTTCAACTTGTAAATGTGCATGTGCCGGGTGTACAATAAACAAACTACATTCAGATGTATAGTATATGAACTTCAAAAGTCCAAGAAACAAAATGTGGGAAGACCAGAGATTGAAAGCACACCTGATCACCATCCTTGATTCCATACTCTCTTATACAATCCAAGTCAGCCAATAGCTTCTCCCCATCATAGCTCAAGCAAAACCTTCCCCACACATATGCCCTACATAACATCAAAACATGCCCAAATTTTTTAAAACAAATAAACCACCGATGCAAATTTGATATGTCAAAACACAAAATGTGTGTGTATGTACACACACACACACCATGAGATTCTTCCTGGCCCAGTCTTAGGCAAATGACTAAACGCCGCCTCCACTGCCATTTTCAGCTCAGCCACCGTTCCGTTCCTCACTACATAGATCTCTACAAAACCCCAAGTGTGATTGTTCATAAATCATAGCCATTTACAAAATATGATAAGTGGACAATTAATTCTAGACGCTCCACAACGGGGGGAAATATTCAACAATAAAATTAGGACGGATGGAGTAATACTAATATCTCAAACTCAAAATAAAGAGAGTTATGAGAGAATTATGAAGGGTACCAAAAGAAGTTCCATCCAATTTAAGGACAGTGAGCTTGATGGGCACTTGTGGTAGCTTGTTGTATGTAGGGCTTCTCATGGGTGAGAATGGCACTCCACATGACAATGAGACCCTTGGGGATCCTTTAAGAACTTCCATAGGTTTAACCCTACAAAAGTGCAGTACTTATAGGGTCCATTTGTCAACAAGATCAACGTTTCGCTTTAGCATTTTGAAAATGTTATATTAATCGCACCACTAAACGCTTATTCAAAACACTAACACAAATTGAAAAGATTGTTCCCAAACAAAGAATATTATACATCCAACAACTGCAAAGAATCATTCTTTAAAAGAAAAATAGGCAACCCTCACATTGAATTAAGCATTCTCATGGGGGTTTCAAAAAAACACAAACAAATACAAAAAATCTAAACGAAATGAGCATTCTATATAAAGTAAAATTAAGCATATAATTAAAAAAAAATACAGAAAGCGTCACTGAATTTAAGTTTGCATTAATAACTAAATAAATTGAAATGAAAAAAAAAATCAGCCAAACCTCAAACTGGAAGATTAATTTGGGACTGGGGAGTATAATTTTGGCCACAGCGAAACATTGTCACCATTTATAACAAGAACGCCATTAACAGCCCTTTGTTTTGAAGGAAAAAAAACACAGAGGAAATCTTGAGGGTGGGGCTTTTAGAATTGGCTGTGATGATTCATTGATTCTTGAGTGAAGGGTTGAAGGCTTATGTCGGCAGAGATTCCTTTCGTGTAAAAAAATTCATTGTTTCTCCTTAGACTCTTTTTTCATAGTCCGTATATTTCTGTTCTAAACTACTCGTAATTGTTTATTTTTAACTATTTTGGTCAAAATTGACAAATTTTGATTAGAAATTAAATAAAAGTGATATTATTAGATGTTCATACAAAAATAAACTTATTAGATTTATTTTATAAAATATTTTCAAAATATTATTTTACCTAATTAATACGGAGTATATCATATATATTTTATTTAATTATAAGTCAAAGGTTAAAATTAACTGACGGTAAAAAGTCAAATCTGTACAAATACTCAGGATGTAGGCAGTACTTTTTTTAATTTCATTTTTCAACTTTTTATTACTTTTTCTAAAAAAAAGTATATTATTTAATGCCATCATAATATTTTTTATTTTTTATTTTCATTTTAATAAATATTTGTATGCAATAAAGTTCATTTTATATAATCCAAAATATATTACTTCTTTAGTCCAAAATCATCTGTCCTCTTTCAAACAATGTATAAAATCTAAACTTTTTAAAATGATTTTATTTATAAATTTGTATAAACACTAGGTATGCAATTAACATTTTTTAAAAAAAATTGAATGAATGGTATATGATTATGAAAAATGCTTGATAGACCTAATCAATTATGTGAAACATGGTATCAGATTTGATGTTGTAAATTGCCTCCAGACTACTCTAGACCAGGTTTAGAGTGGTTTGCTAAGTTTAGGGACTAAAAAGGCATAGAAAACCAGAGTTGACCAGGAGGATTGTAGAGGGGGACGTACTCCAATAATTATTAAGTACAATGAGAATACATGGAAGTATTATACAGTATGCATTTAGAGAGAGAAGTTTGAATATCCTTTACTAAGGGTTACAAGTCTATTTATAGTGGGATTAGAAGACAGTCTGACATGTGCCCATGCCTGACCACGTGCTTGGCACGTGACAGTGCACAACTTCTGCTGTTTCTTTTGGCTCGTAGTGTTCGTCTCTTATTTCTTGAAACTTTTCCATTTGGTGCTTAAGTAAATCTGTTGGGGAATCTAGTCAAAGCAGGTTGCTTCCACATTGTTACCTTCCAATGCGCTGAGCTCTCATTACGTGTCTCAAAGAACCACCAAGGTGGTTTCTTGAATGAATATAATGCTCTGGCGATCTAAGGATCCCTTCCGCAAAGTCATGCCCCCCTGGCCGGTAGTGTTGAACCACTTGGGTGGTTCAGGTTTTGGCTTGGCTTCAATTTTCTCGGCACGTGTTGCTCCCAGACCATCGGTCGTTCCCCGTTGTATCCGACCTGGGTCAGGTCTTGGGTGTGACCCATCAAAATTAAAGTTATTTTAGGTGTACCAAACTCAAAAAATATTTGCCTTAGAGAGCATATGAGAAGTCTACATCATCATCATACATTCATACATGCACGTAAGGATTCATAAGCAAAAAGACTAAACTATTAATCACAAAGCTAGGGCAAAATAAACAGCAACAAGCCAACAATAAAAAATAGAATAATGCTAAAAATTATTCACTAAGTGCCCCGGTAACAATCGGAAACGATTTTATACATAGACAGACGGTAACTGTTTCTGTCAACACATGATTATCGTCTATATATACATAAATTATATGTGATTGTTATTCATGGGGTCAACCCTGATAGATTCTAACATGGTATTATAAAATACTAACTGACTCTTTATTTTTATTTTTTGTTTCCCCTTCTATATTATGCACTTACCAGATGCTATACCCCCTTTGGCTTTAAACATGAGAAAATCTTCTGGCTTCCAAATCTATCAAGTTTTCCAGCCTTATGAGTCCTGCTGCTGCAGGGGTAATAATATTCCACGGGGAACGAATCGTGCCTCCGGTGGCGCTTGGCGTCGACAACCGCCGCCTTCTGATCATCCTCCGCCGCCGCCGAGGGGAGGGAATCGTACCGCCGGAGTTTTCTGCTCCTGTTGATGCTCCTGCACACCAGGGGAATCAGACCTTCCATTATTATTATTGTTTCTTCTTATTTTTCTATGGGGGGGATCTACCAATTCAACTCACCAATCTCTCCTCTTGACTCTTTTTTTATTCATTTGCTTCCCAAAAAAATTGTCCCCTTTTGAATTTCAAAAGAGTATTTAAAAAAAATGAGGACATTGCAGTCCAATGATGCTCTCATGGGTTTCTCATGAGTTTCAATAAGTTAAAAATGTATGAACATATACTACCTTTTAATAAAATTATTAGTGCTAAAAAAAGTTTTTAAAAGGAGTTTAAATAAAAAGTATACTCTATATCTTTTGAAATTATTTTATTTACAAATTGGTATCAATGAGAAATAAAAATTACATGTTAAAAAATTACGTCAAAAGTTATACAAAGTGAGAGGTGACAAGAATATTTTATTTTATCAAATACTCAATGAAAATATACAAATGAACAAAACTAATCAAGAGGAGAGAAAAAAATTATAATTTATTTGAAGACGGAGAGAGTAGTAAATGAGAATACACAATAGGGATAAATAATGTGAACCAATCATTCTTTATTTGAATGAAATGAAAACATGTTTTTTGAGACAATTAAAAAAGAAAACAAAGCAACTTCTTTAAGACGAGGGGTATAGAATTTTAATTTATACTACATATTTTTTATCTATAATTTGATAAAATAATATAATCAGATCATATTTTATTCTAGGAAGATTTTAATGTAATTTTTGAATATTCAATTTATTTTAATTTTTAGATTGATAGACTCCTTCGTCTCAAAACATCATTTATACTTTGACTTTTTAGTCAAAATGTTATACACTTTGACAATAATTTATATAACAAAATTATATTTAATTATAATATAAATTTTTAATGTGTAATTAGATTCAAGTTAAAATGTACTCGGTATTTTTTACATATGGGCGTTACACTTTATAACATTTATTTATTTTTGATGGATTAGGAATTTTCCTAATCCAATATTATTTAAACAGTACCAGAAAGCCCAATTTTATCTAGCCCAAGATATAAATCAGATAAATTATTCAAGACAGAACCAGAAATATATGGATAGAAGAATGTATTTGAAGTGATGTGAAAACATTCAGCGGGACCCGCGGAACACTATCACATGGAAACCACATGGGCTTCACATGGACAATGTCCCCTTTTGTCTCCATCAATTATTCCCTTCCCCCTTTAAATGCAAGCTGCGAAGAGGGGGGGGGCAAATACTCAACAAGTCCCTACTACTATATTTTTCTTCTTCTTCTTTATGCTTGGAGCTCCATTAATGGCTCCAAGCTCCTACAATGATGTATGTGTAAATTCCCTCCCGAGATTAATAAAAGTTCCTCCCTTTTGCCATGGCACCGCCTAAAAAGGCCCGTGGTTTTCTTCCGATTTGGGTTTCCACGTATAAATATTTTCTCTCCGCTTTATTTATTTATTTAATTTCCGGATTTCGCTATTCGGTGCGGTGTCGACCCGGTACCCAGTTCGTCGGGTCGACGTCCCGAAAAAGCGGTTTCCATCAATTTTAAGCTCTATTAATTAATGAATAAATTGTATAGTTGTTTGAACGAAAGAATTAAATTTAAAAAAAATACTGTGACGAAAGGAATATTTAGTTTTATTTTTTATTTGAATCAAACATCCTAATTCAAATTTATTGTAGCGATTTGGTTGTCCAATGACGTCTCACCTAAAACTGGACCGTCTAGAAGGCTAGAACGCACATAATCTATTTTACTTGACGCGTTGATTCAATAGTCGGTCTACCAATCTTTTTCAATACACATATTGATGAATTGTTCCAAAAACATCAATTAGTTCAAGGCAAGATTGACTAAATAAAAATGCATATTTACTTTTTTGTTATACTCTTATCTCTCTCTATTATTTTTGTTTACTTTTAACTTGTTCCATTAATTTTTCGCGTATCAAGTTTAGGCCGTTTTAGAATTTTATTGTTGGCTCTTCATGATAGTTGTTCGTGTTAACTGGTTTGAATGACCGATTGAGTTGACTGCTTCGACCAATCGATTATATTAGCTGTTGGTAAAAAATTGTTTGACAAAATTAACTTTTTAAAAATAGCTTTTATAAATTAAATTAAATTTATTAAAAATTTTACCTATATAATTATATGGTATAACATGCTTTGCAATATATATTCTTTTTTCCTCAAATAAAACTTTAAGCTATATATTGTTCTAAAGTCATTATGATTTTTTTATTTATGTATTTTTATCGATCAACTAATAGAATAATATAATTTTGTTTCAAAAAACTTTTGATGTAGTTTTAATTCTATAATTTATTTAATTTTACACCAAATTCTCAAAAAAAATAAGAAGAAAATATTTTTCTCGCAAATCGATTCATGAATTTTACATGGGAAGGACAATTTATTTATTTACTATTTATTTATTTATAGATTATTTACTTATGTATTTATTTAGTTATTAATTGATTTATTTATCAATTTTTCATCTATATATTTATTTATCAATATTTTTATTCAGTTACGCAACAAATAATTATTTTTTATTTATTAATAAAAATTACATACAATAAAAAATAATATATTAAAACATATTTCCCAACAACCAAAGCGAAATGCAACTCCCCGTAGTTTTTTAAAGTTTGACTTTTCGAACTCAAACAACCAATCTTTGCAGCCAACTACCAAACACCCTTTCTGGCAGCTTGACCAGTCAAATGTGTTAGAATTGGTTAAAACAACCAAAAGTCATTCTAAATGTGATAAACCAAACATGCCCTTGGTTATTTTTATATTATTCGCATTAATTCTTGTTTTTAATGTTTTTTTTAATGTTATTAACTCTATTAAAAAGTAGTATCTGTTCATACTATTCTCAACCTAATGTCGCACAAAAAGTCAATGCTTTCGCGCTTCTGCTGGGTTTCGAATCTGGGTAAACTTCCTCACGAATCTTGGGGCGTGAGTTTCCTACCGCTCAAGTCAGAGGAAAAGTTCTGCTTTTAATGATTAGTCAAACTAATTTTTTTCCAATTTTGTCTGGTTTGCACACTTTAGTTACCTTTTTAGGGTATCTTTTCGGGCTAGCAAAGCCACTTGTTATCAGTTCAATCGATCCAAACGGTCACACCAGTTTGGTTGCTGCAACCATGCTAAAGTGGCTTGTTATATTTTAGAATTTGACAAGCTAAACAATTTTTTAAGCTCCAAGGGGCTTGTCAATTTTTGACAAACTTGCTAAAAAATAAAAATTATTTGCTACTAATAACAAGCTTGGTAAATTATAGCAAGCCATAAAGAAGACTAAAAATGTTGATTGGGTTACTTTTTTTCATGTGCCACAACACAACTGTTCCCTCATGTTCAATGCCACAATGCAAGAAGAAAAATAAAATTTTATTTTATTTTTTTACAAAAAAAATTATTTTTTTACAAAAAAAAATATTTTTCTACAAAAAAATATTTTGTTTTTTTTTTTACAAAAAAACAGTATTTTATATTAAATTATTATTTTTAAATTGCATTCTTACAAAGTTACTTAATATTTATAAAATAAAATAGTAAAATATAAATATCATTGTAAATAGTGTACTATAATAGTGAAATCAATATATGTTAACTAAATTATAGCAAAAGAATGTTGGAGATGGCAATGCAAAATGACTTGCTATACCACCTTTCATAGGTTAAAGATGACTTTTGCAAACCATGTTTAGCAAGTGTGGTTGGAGATGCTTTACGTGTTCATTTTACACTAGATTCATCGATTAATATCAGCAGTTTAAAAAAGATTATGTAACGATAGCACATAATTTCAGCATTTTCAAAAATAATCTAAACTAGTACAAATAATTCAAAAAGGTAATCCTAATCGAAAACATTATTTCCAAACGAAATCTAACAAACGGACCTCAACTTAAGTGTAGATTTGCCATGATGTTTCAATTGAAAAACAACACCATTACAAGCAGAGAATCCTCACCACCAAGCAAAAAAGCTTTGCTCATCACTTTTGACACCAAAAATAGATTTTACATGCAACTTGTGCCAGTAATATTTCACAAACATTTCACACATGAAATCTTTTTTATACCAAAAGTTATATGCACCAAGAATTATGATCTTTATCCAAAACAGAAAAAATAATTTGTCAGATCATGAATATCATTGCACAATTTTTTTTTTAAAATGTCAAAGAATCTCACACAGCAAAATTCATCCTAGAACATGAAGAAAACTTTGAAATTTTCTACAAATAAATATACTTAAATTCCAGCATTTATATGAATAAAATTATCAGCACCGTTACTGGGTTGTAATACAGCGTTACAACAACCCAGTAATGTGTGTAATACACGTTGCGAATCATACAGTACTAAAAACTACGAAGAAAAAAAACTGTCTTTTTTTTGCATCAAAGATTCCAATCCGAATCTGCAGAAGAAACCAGGCCTCCTCCTCTACAATCATCAGTGAATATGGACTCTGCACAAGAACTAGGCCTTTGTGGAAACACCTTTTCCACCCCATTGTTATAAATGCAAGGTTCCTGGTCAAGAAATTCAGGCAATTTAAGCACTTTGTCCATCACAAGATCATCACTATCTTCAAAACTCTGGGCTGGTTTGATCTGATGATCATCATAGCAAAACATATTGTCTTCTTCTTCTTCTTCTTCTTCTTCTTCTTCATCATCATCTGGCAGCCACCTGCAGCTATCCATGGCAGGGGTTCGGCTAAGGGACACGTCCCTCCATGATACTCTAATGTTAGACTCATATGCATTCCCAGTTGAGGATTCTGAAAGACATGACACAGAAGTGTCCCCATGTTTGTGACACCCGGTGATGTGGCCTACGAAACTGAATGTCGTGGTTGAATTACAGTTACTGAACTTGAAACTCGTCCCGGGATCATCAGAATCTGGCATCTGATTCTGAGCTGATGATAAGCTTGCGCTGCGAAGAATGTCGGTCGCCTCATCAAGCTCATATTGAAACCCAAGCTCACAATCCGAGTTGGGGGTCTGAATCACATTACCACAACTCAGAGTGCTTGTTGAATGTGGAGAATCGTTTTTCTCAACTCTACTTGGTTTCGAACGAGTAGGGGTAAGTTCTGAGCACACACACCCTCCCAAGACCCGAATTTCATGGGGTTTTATTGGGTTTATCGTTATACT